GAATAAAAAGAATATTAGGTTTAACTATAAACTTTTATGACAGCAGTAAAACCTCTTAAAATTGAAAATTTTGTAAAAATAAATGTCTAGGCATTAAATCAGTATATTTAATCCAAAAGTTAAAAAACAGTTTCCCTGGTCATCAAACCATCATGGCGTTGCCTGTCAATTAACCCAGTAGGCTTATCAGCAACTGATCAATCAGTCGTTGTAATTAACTGTAAATAAAGTTTTATTCCACCCGGGAAAAAAAAGAAAAAAGCCAAGACCAACGGGACCAAATGTCCGTCTGAACAAAGGTGACTGGAAACAAATGTTTGATTTATCATCATCTGAAGCAGCTTTTTGCTTCCTGTTGAATCAAAGGTTAATGTTTAAAGCTGAAGCTGCTTTGTTCTTTATTGATGGTAAATGCTGCAACTTCTGTTGCAAAACTTTTATCTTTGCTACGATCAATTAACAGAACACTGATTTTCAATAGGTTGTAATTTAGTCCAACAGCTTCTTCCAATCAGCCAAGGTGCCTCTGATCGTTCCTCCTCTGCCTAAAACACATTTGGGATTTAATGCAAATTAACTTTAAACAACCTGCTTCTTCCAGTTGGAGAATCTCTGACTTTTGTACGACTAACATCATATTTAGAGACCTGGATCCTGACCTCCCTTCTCCCCAGAGCCCCTCCCCCACATGTTCCTTAAAAGCATTTGGTGTTACATACTCCATTTTGATTCTGTGTATTTTTAACCATTTCTGTGCCAATGTTGCCATCTTTATATTTTTTTTTGTCTGCTGAATATCAAGTCGTTTTCAGGTTGTTTCTTTTTGGAAAAGCCCATTAGATTTATATTTACAGTTTTTTTGCAGAGCTCACAATGCTTTGCACTCCTACAAAAATTACAGAGAAGGAGCTACTGACCCACAGCATAACAGAGCTTCTATCGTACTTATCAGTGGGCGTGAGGTTATCCTCCTCTCACTAGGAGTCGGTTAAGGTAAAGACTAAACAAAAGATTAAAAAAACACTCTTCTAAGGCACCCCTGTTCCATAATGACATTAGTGATTTTGTTACAAATGCACTTATTCTAATAAAAAATATATATTTAAATAATAAAAAAAGATTTTCTTTGAGGCTACAGGTTTTGTGTTTCTTGCAAATCCCAACCAAAGCTGCCATTTGGGTGTTTCTTAGAAATGAACTCACTGACATACTATTGATCTTAACAGTGTTTAATGGAAACCTATGGACTGCTTTAGAGACAGGGTTTATCAGAGGTGTGAAGTAAAGAACAAATACTTTGTTACTGTACTTAAGTACACTTTTTAGGTATGTATACTTTACTCCATTACTAATTTTTCTTCCTACTTCCTACTTCTACTCATTACATTTTCAATTCATATAGCGGCATCTGGCAGTTTGTTTTAAAAGGTTACTTTATATTTCTATAGTTTTAGTTTTTGGAGCACATAGTTTTTCACTTTTACTTGAGTAAAGAGGTCAGGGTAATACTTCAACTTTTAAACTGCAGTATCTATACTTCTACTTGAGTAACATATATATATATATATATATATATATATATATATATATATATATATATATATATATATATATTTATGTGTGTGTGTAAAAAAATATTCCTCGTTTTCAGCCCCTTTTGTTGAAATTTGCATTTTCCTATTCTCTAGCTTTTTCTCAACTGGTTACTGGTTAATAATAAACTCAGGGTCAGTTGTTTTTCTAACTATTGTTCTCTGGTTAATATCACTCTTTACCTTTTTTATTAACATCACTATAATATAATATACTATAATAATATATAATATTATTATATATTATAATATAATATAATATAATATAAGGATTAAAAGTACGTCTGATTTGTGTTCCTATTGTCTGAGCTAAGAGTCGACACCCAACGCTGGAATATTGGTTTGACATCTGAAAAATATCAACAGATGATTTTAAGTTTCCTACCTTCTTGTTTTGATGCTCCCTTTTGGACTAGAAGGAGTGGAGCTAATGGTTATACTGGTCTGTCAGATGAACACAAAGGCCTCTGGCAATGCATTGTGGGAGAGCAGCGAGGCCACTGACACAGCTGAGGAGAGAGAGCAGAGAACAAAGGTAAAATATTAGATTATATAAAGTCATTCTTGTCCAGAAGGGGGGGTGGGGTAGATTCTGGTGAAGATTCCCAGTCATCCAGGTCATAGTCATAGGACAGCGTTGACCCGGGAAGGTCGAGTCCTCCTCCTCCTTCATGTCCTCTAGTTGGAGAAGGTCGGCGTTAGGATCGCCCTCAGTTTCATAGATGCCTGCATCGAGTTTCCCGCCGTCCATAAGACCCTTAAACAGGGGAGGCATGGACTCCTCCATCATGTCCGCCCCACTCTTAGAAGCTCGCGGCTGATGGTTTTTAGCAGCCGCAGCAATGGCTGAAGGTGAGGAGAGGCGTGGGTCTGGCTGTTAGCGACAGCCACCCTCAGCCGCCTTTCCAGGGCGCAGTGCTGGCATCCCTGAGGGTCCACCAGTGAAGCCTTTAGCGCCCATACATGCAATGCACATTGGACGAGGGTCCCGCCCCGAGATAGATGACGGCGGGCGGGATACAACCTCTTTAGCTTACAGTTCCGAACCTTTGGCAGGGGTAGGAGCCGCAGCAATGACAATAGACAAACACAGAGCTCGTTGTTTCACGTTAGCTTTTAACCGATGTTAAGTCCGTCCGCCACATCAAGTTAACCAGACTCTTATCCTAACGCTAGCCAAAAACCTAGCCCACCTTTACGTGTTAGCTCGGCTGACACGGA